TTCCAGGCTCATGCTGAGGCACATGTGGAGAAGCACAAGCAGGGTAAACAAAATCTGAGAGCAGTTCTTTTTGAGACAGTTGCCTGCTTATTATGGGGTTGACTTTTACTTTCCTCTACCGAGTATTTTGTTGTGGATATTTTAAGTATATTTACAGAAGATGATCAAGTTAAAGATTCTGAAAAAAATAAGAAAAGAGATTTTTTTTTTTCCCTCGGGTCTTAATTGTGATGCAGAGTTCAGTGCTCTGAGGTGCTTTAAAAGGCTCTGGAAGGGAGTGGACCAAGAGTCCTGGAGAAAACCACCAGCACTGGCAGTGAAATGACCTGGCTGTTGCTTCCTGCTCAGAAGTCCCTCATCAGCTCTAGTGAGAGGACAGCCCTAGGGAAGGAATGCTCTGACTGCAGCTCCTTGCTTATCTTGCTGATAGCAGCCCCTCCTGGCTACCCCCTGTCACATGTGGGGCAAGGAAGACTTGGTCTGGCCTGTGATGACAATTCTTATATAATCTCCTCAGTACAGGAAAAAAATAGACCTGTTAGAAGGGGTCCAGAGGAGAGCCACAGAAATGATCAGAGGGCTGAAGCACCTCTCCCATGAGGACAGGCCGAGAGAGTTGGGGTTATTTAGCCTGGAGAAGAGAAGGCTCCAAGGGAGACCTTATGGCAGGGGCTCAGCCCCCGGCGGGCCTGCCACAACAGAACCAGTTGTGACAGGACAAGGGGTGATGGCTTTAAATGAAAAGAGGGGAGATTTAGACTGGATATAAGAAGAACTTTTTCACAGTGAGGGTGAGGAAATGCTGTCCCAGATTGCCCAGAGAGGTGGTAGATGACCCATCCCTAGAAACTGCCTCAAGATGAGGTTGGATGGGGCGCTGAGCAACCTGCTGTAGTTGGGGATGTCCCTGCTTACTGCAGGGGGGTTGGACTTAGATGACCTTTTGAAGTCTGGTCCAACTCAAAACCTTCTATGATTCTATGGTAAAATGGGGAAAAAAGCTCTTGCTCCAGTTCTGTGTGCCTGGCAAAGCTCAGAGGAGCATCCTGCACACGCTGGGCTGTGCTGTGGTCAGGGTGCCCGTGCTGCTCAGCACTGAGGCTCATTCCTGTGGGTGTGCTGAAGTGCTGAGCAAGCAGCTCTGCTCCCGAGGCTCTCAGCAGCCTTCTCCTGCCTGGGAAGGCAGTGTGGTGGTCGGGGTTGCACTGACCACTGTCAGGAGCAGGGAGGTTGGCTCTTGGACTGACACCTTCCCTCCCACAGACATGGAGAGCGTGAACCCCAGTTTCGTGACCGTAGCCCCGAGCACGACGGATCTCCTGGGAACAGAGTGCAACACTACTGAGGGCACCTGGGGTAAGGACTCCTGTCACCTCAGCAGGCCAGGGGCTCGAGCCTCGGGGGATTTCCCAGTAACATCCCAGTTAAGGTGGTCTGTCTGCTCTTGGAGATGTGGGTGCAGCCTGGCTCTTGGCCCCGTGCACAGGGCTGCGTTTTCCAGTGCTCGGAGCCTCCTTCCCTCAGCTGGCTGGGGATGCCTCAGAGCCAGTGGAACTGAAAACTGCTCTAGTGGGGGTCCACTGCAGGAGCTGGTCCAGTGCTAAGAACAGTCCGTGGCTGCAGAAGTCCTCTGCAGTTCATAGCTGTGAGCCTCCAAAATGAGAATTTCTGCTGAGCGCAAACTGTGAACGCAGCTAGTGTTAGTGCTCAGGAAGCTGCCCAAGGTGTTTTCTATACCTGAGAGCAGGAAGGGACGTGTTGGGCATTAGCCAGCACAGATAACAACCTGTGCTTTAACTCCAGATTCTTCTTCATTCTCTGTGATTGCAGAAACCACATCTTCTGTAACCAGCACCTGGATAGGAGAGAAAACAGATGACTCCAGTACCTCCATCCTCGTGGGCTGCCTTGTGGCTATTATTCTTCTGCTCCTGATGATTATAATCATTATTCTCTGGAAGCAATATGTTCAAAAAAGGTTGGAAAAGGTAATAACAATGGGCCTGTTTTGCAGACACAATTTCACTACTAAGCATTGACCCTAACAGAACTGTGGAAAGCACAGGATTTCCCCAGCTCCAGAGAGCAGCTAAAAGCAGGGAAAGGATGCCAGCCCTGTCCAAGATGTTACTGGAAATTGCTGCAGTTGCAGCCAATGCATTACTTAACAACTGAGCATCACCTCAGCAGATTTTTCCTCTTTTTCAGGCCCCACGTCGAATCCTAGAGGAGGATGCTACAGTTCGCCTCTCCTTCTACAGCTACACCATTGCCAACAACCAGACCCAGATCCACCAGTCAAATCCCACCTATGAACGTGCTTTCCCACTGGATTTGGAGTATCACCAGCCAGCCACGCTGCTCCAAAAGCTTCCAGAGCTCTCCCAAAGTGCAGAGGATTCAGGTAATTGCCAGTCTCCAGAAGCTGTGTGTTTATTCTTTCATTTCTCTCAGGTCTTCACCAGCCAGCCACGCTGCTCCAAAAGCTTCCAGAGCTCTCCCAAAGTGCAGAGGATTCAGGTAATGTAATTGCCAGTCTCCAGAAGCTATGTGTTTATTCTTTCATTTCTCTCAGATCTTAGAACATGCCACTTCTTGGTGCACAAGAGGCAAAGACAACTACTTAGGGAATACAACACTAATCCAGGAACCTAAGACCATATTCTGGAGCTCTGAAAGTTTCCAGCATGTAACTTGGGCAGATGGAACACCAGCCCCACTAGAGGGTGGTGGCCTCTTTTTGTTCTGTTTGAAGACAGTGTTTATAGGTTAGCCAGGTCATCTTTTAGAAGCTGCTTTTGGCAATCACGCTTTGTTTGCCTCATCAGCCCCTTGGCAGTGGAGCTGCTGCCTGCAGCACTCCTGGGATGTCTAGACTGACTGGTGGAGAAGACCTTTAGCATCTTTTCGTGCAGCTAAAGGCTCATTGAAATTCCCTTAGAAAGAACAGAGGGAAATGCAGCAGACAATTCAGTGGTGCCCTGGCTTCCAGCCCCTGGGGAGCTTTGGGAAGCACGAAGGAGGGAATGCTTCCAACAGTATTTTGTCCTCAGTGATGACAGTGCTGATTTGTGAATGGAGGGGCAGTGCTGCACTCCTCAAGCACTGACAGGCTGCTAAGATCCAGCTTTATGCTGCCCAGGGAGACTGGAATTGAATCAGGATGTGAATTTGAAGCACAAAACTGTTCATTGTAATACTGACCATGCAGGGAGTTAGTTCTAAAGAGCTATCCTGTGATACTTGAGTGAGCTCTAAGAGGTAGTGTGACATGCTAACAGAGTACATGGAAACCTCAACCAGCTCCTGTTGCAGAAGGGAATCCAGAGTAAGCTTGACATTTTAAACAGCACCCCTGTGTCAGGTAAAGGGAACAGTATTTAGGATACATCAGAAACAGGAGATCACTTCAGATTGGTGCCTCCCTGTCTGGGCAAACATTCAGCTCTCCTAGCTGGTGTTGCAGGCAGCTGTCCAACAGGAGTTCACTGGCACCTCACAGTTATTCTGGGGTCTGCAGAAGTGCAGCTGGCTCTGGGTTAAGTTAAAACAAAGCAGAGTCTTCCATCTGGGTGTACCTTGAGATGAGGTGGTAGGTGTGCAGCTAGGCTGAGCTCCAGAGGCCTGCAGGATGGAGAGGAGTGGAAGCTTGGGCTGCACTGGTTTTGAAGGAGAGCCTGACTCTGCCTGTCTTTGGCTTCCCCTCAGTGTGCAGTGGGGACTATGCTGAGCCTGACCTGACCAAGTCCACTCCTCACCAAGGCTTTCAGAACAACGTCCCTCACTATGCTGAAACAGATATTGTCCACCTGCAAGGTGTGACTGGCAACAACATGTATGCAGTCCCAGCCCTCACTGTGGATTCACTCACCAAGAAGGACATCTCAGTGGGGGAGTTTCCACGGCAGCAGCTACGACTGAAGGAGAAGCTGGGAGAGGGACAGTTTGGAGAGGTACAGCTGTTCTTGTCTGCTTTTCCTCCAGCAGAAAGGAGATGCCTGGCAGAGCTGAACCTTCAGAGCTGCCTCCCTGGCACTGCTTCGTACCTGAGGGCTGACAGTTCTGCACCAGTATTGTGTTTAATACATGTCTTTGCTGTTGGGGAGAGCTGATGTCCCTTAGGGACAGGCTTTGGAGAGCCCCATGCTGCACCTGTGAGGCTGCTGCTTGGTGCCACCTGAGTCTCAACAGATGACCTTTGCAAACTTTTTCTGTTTGCTGTGGGAATTCAGTCTGTTTCGTGGTCTTCCATGGACATCTCAAAGGTGATGGCTGTTGCCCACCTTTTAGGCACGTGGGTTTGGAAACTCTAGCAAGCAGTGACTCCAGCCAAGACAGACTGATCCTGGCTGCAGAAGCTGCTTTCCCTTTAATTCCCTTTAACAGATGCTGGTGAGGCTCTGCATGCTGACCCAAGCAGAGACATTTCCCAAGCATTCTGATGCCCTCACATTCCCTAGCAGTGCTGCTTGCTCAAGCCCCAGTTTGTCAGAAGCCTGGGGCAGCATGATGCACACCTCTGTCATCTGCAGAACTCTTTACTCCTTGTGCTCCTTCCAAGCTGTGAATGTTTCCACCTCGCCTCTTCTCTCTCTGCTTCATTTTCACACTGTCCCCAGTTCCATACTGAGCAGGTCTTCCCCTCCTGCTCCCACTCTTCCACTGGCTGTTGTCTTCCCAGCTTTTGCTCCCTCTCAGCCTTAAATTCTACCCGTCTACTTCATTTTGGCAAAGCACAGCCCTTTACTGAGTGCTCCCTCCTCTGATGTGCCCATCACTGTATTCCTCACCTCTGATGTCACACCTCCCTTACCACAGCTCTTTCCTTGCCCACCTCACTTCTTTCTGGATCACTCCCTGTATGGGGGAGGTGCTGACATCCTCAGCCTCTTCACCTGGCTGTCCATGCAGCCCATTCTGCTGTTGCCTGGGTCCTGCCCTGGCTTGGTCTGTGAAACAGAGAGGCTTTTTTTTCCCTCATTGTTTTACTTCTGGTTTCTCCTTCCCTTTCATTCCTCTCCTAATAACTGTCAAAGCTTTCTCCTCCTCCTCCTTTGTGTTGTCAAACAGCAGAAGCCAGGCTGCTCTGTTTTCCTTGGAGATGTGAGGGAAGGAATCAATCTGAATCCATCACAGGCTCTTGCTGCTGCTTTTGCAAATGTGCCACATCACCTTCTCCTGTCTCCTCACCTCAGTCTTTACCAAGCTGGTGATTATCATGTGCTCTGTTCTACTGCTCTGCCTTAGTGTGCAAGTCTTGCTTCTAGAAACATGGCTCATGGCTTTATCTCTGCTTCCTTTCCAGTCTTTCTTATCCCTTGCTCCTGGCCATCTGCTCCCTGGCCTCGGTGACACGTTACCTGCAGCTGTAGCACATGCACCTAGTTCCATGGCTCTGTCCTGTTCCTGCTCTTGTGGCTGTAATTCCACCACAGCTGATTTCTCTCTCTGACTGCAGCAGCATCTTTGTGCTTTTGTTTCTGTCCTGTGGGTTTGTCCCTTTTTCTGTGCTGTCTTTTCTCCTTGCCATGCTTCTCAGTAAGTTCTTGCTGCTTTCTTTGTATAAAATCCATTAAGCTCCCATTCCATTCCCCTCCTGCTACAAGCCTTTGACTGACACATCCAGTCTGCTCCCTTCTTCAGTGGTTTTTCCTGTCCCACACACTCAGGTTTATCTGCTTTCCCCACCCCAGCATCTCTTGTCCAGTTCTCCACTTGAATATGCATTCTGATAACTTCTTAAGCAAGAGTCTTGTCACCCACTCCTTTTTATACAACCCTGGCAGTAATTTTATGGCTTTTATAATGTATTCATCTGGAGAAACTTGAAATTCCTAAGAGTTTTCATCTCTGGGTATATCCACAGGTGAGGTGCTCACATCACACACAACCACAGTTTTCTTATATTTTTTTTTTTCCCTGGAATTAGAGGATTTTGGATAGCTGTGTAACTCCTGGATGCTCCTCAGTTGTGTTTGGGTGGTGACTCAAGGCCACAGGACAGTTCTGGACTGGTATAGCTGGTGTGATGTGCTGTACATGTCAAACCTGCTGCAGCCAAGCTGTCTGCACACACAGGCAGAGCAAAGCAGACAGCTCCAGGCACAGCAGCCTCCCTGAACATCTCCAGTACCTGCTGGGAGAACTGGCCTGCCCCAGTAGGCTGCTGCTCCAGTCTGAATGTGCAGGGGAAATTCCATGTGTTTGGGTCACTTCAGGCTGCAGTCCATGTATGTTCCTGCCTCCTGGGCTATATAGTGTACGCCCCAGTAGGCTGCTGCTCCAGTCTGAACGTGCAGGGGAAATTCCATGTGTTGGGGTCACTTCAGGCTGCAGTCCATGTGTGTTCCTGCCTCCTGGGCTATACAGTGTACATACACATTTTGTCCAGGATCTAGGGCCACCTCTGGGCTGTTTCTGATCAGAACAGTGTCCTCTTCATTGGATCATTCAGCTGGTTGTTCTCCCAGCAGTGACTGAACTGGTGGCCTCAACGTGACATTGCTTTCCCCTGGTTTTCTGCCTCTGCATGCTCTCATAGCAGCCTCTGCCTCCTGCCCTGCAGGTGCACCTTTGTGAAGCTGATGGTCTGCTGGAGTTCCTGGGAGTCTCCTCTACAGAATTTACTCACCAGCCCGTTCTTGTAGCAGTGAAAATGCTGAGATCAGATGTCAACAAAACAGCCAGGTAAGCACACCTGCAGTGCCAACCATCCGAGGAGGGAAGGGAATGCTCTCCCAGCAACAGTTCCACATCCACTAACCCTGGTGACCTCTCTGAGAGCATCTCCTGCCTGAGGTGTAAGTGCTGTGTGTTCATGTAAGGAACAGGACACAGGCAGGGGGTAGGGGTAGGTAAGAGTAGTAATGTCCTAGTGTCACACAGGAATATCAGACAGAGCTGCTGTTAGCCCTGTGTGCTGGGGAAGGGGGTGAGTGCCGAGCACAAGCACAGAACCAGCGTCCAGACTTCCCTGTGCAGAACTGTGAATGTCTCTGAGCTGAGATTTTCTTGCGTGCCACTTCTCCTTTCCTTAAATGAAGGAGTAGTTCAGGATTTGAATCTGGGTTTTCTGTTCCCAAGAAACGATTTCCTGAAGGAGATCAAGATCATGTCCCGGCTGAAGAACCCCAACATCATCCGGCTGCTGGGGGTGTGTGTGCGTGACGACCCGCTCTGCATGATAACTGAGTACATGGAGAATGGGGACCTCAACCAGTTCCTCTCACAGAGGGAGATCTACAGCAAATTTGCCATTTCAAACAACATCCCCTGCGTCAGGTAGGAGCAGCTGCCCCTCTTTGGGACGAGTCAACAGCTCCCAGCTACCACTTCCACCTGCTGGCACCTTCCTCCAGCTTGGCCGTTGCCACAGCCCGTGCCAGGGATGCTGGTTCCACTTTGTGTGGGAGGTTGTCCTTGAGGACTCTGGAGTCCTGTGTTGCTGTGAAGTGTCCCTGGCTGTGGGCTGTTCTGGCCATGGTGACCATCTTAGATGGATTGTTTACTGATGTGACCATCTGTTTATGTTAGTGGGCTTGCATCATATGTTTAATATGGGAAGCTAGCTGCATTACAGCAAGAATTCTGGGCTGAAAATCAAGAATGTCTCTTAGGCTTTTAAGGAGGTTCATATGTTCTCTGGACGTCTGAAAAATATTACATTAGAGGAGTTGTGTCTGGAGCTTCACTAAGGAAAGATTTCATCAGCCAACAGGAGAGTATTTGGCAAAGAGAACCATTTTCTGTCAGTGGTGGCATGTGTCTCTGCCCTCTGTGGAAGGATTAAATCTACCATAAAAGCATCTCTACTACTGCAGGAATCCTTTCCTCAGAAGAGAGCTCTGTGTAGGACTAACGTATTCTGCTCAAGAAAAACCTGCACTGATCAGAAGCTGCAGCAGTGCTTAGCCTCTGGCATGTACCTCCCCAAAGATTAGATTCATTTCTGGTTCAAGAACTAGGCAGTCAGGCAGAGCCAGTTCTGATGGGCTGGACAGGAGGTGTCTGGGTCTTACCCCGTGGAGACAGCAGGAGCATTTCTGCCAGTAGCTGGCAGTGGTCAGTAGTCCTGTCAGGGAGTGTCAGACTGGCATCCTGCAGTCAGGACACACCAGGAACTGGGGATGGGAGAGGGTTTGTGTCTGAGTACAAATGTATTCCAGGTCTCTCCAGTCCCCTGCCCTCCCTGCACATCTGAAACAGCTTTCACCTTTAGCTTCTGCCTTTATTTCCTGGCCATGGCCTCAGACTGTCCTTTTCTTCTTTAGCTCCTCATCTCTCTTCTGAGGACTTCAGCACAGTCACTCACATTATTCCTCCTTGGTTTCTATTACTTGGCTCTACCTCTGGTTTTTCTTTCTCTCCAGCTGATCCTTTAGGCTCTCCTTTTGTCCCCTCCAGCCAGGTTCAGTTTCACATTGCAGGAAGCCAGGGTAAGGAGCTCAGATACCTGTTTACTGGGGTGAAATGAATCCCCCTGCCACAGAGTGCAGCTTGGCTCTGCTGCTGCCTGTGAGTGCCTGACCAACAGGGCAAGGTCCAACCATCCCACCTCTCTCTCAAGCCCTCTGTTTGATGCCCCAAATGGCCTGATGGGCCCTTCCCTGCAGAGGGGCTATGCATGAAGTCCTCCTGGCTCTCTGGTGTTTGAAATGCATCTCCCTGGTGCCTCTCTGGCTAGCTAGCAAATCATGAAGGGGAATCTGCTGAGAAGTGTCTCCTGTCCTGCCCCTCTGTATGTGGAGGTGCACACATCAGGCTTGGCAGAGCTTGCTGAGCAGAGGAGCAGGGAGACAAAAGGTACTTGCTGGTGGGACCCTGCCAGGGTGTGCAGGTGGGACCAGACAGATTGGGCTGCTTGAATAGGAAGAGCAACAGCCCCAGGGAGACAACTGTGGCTGAGCAAGAGAAAGGGCTGTGTAGGATCTTGGAGGCTATGCCCACTCTTACATGAAAAGGCAACAACCAGGTTAACAAGGTAGAAGCAGGTGGCACAGTTCCTTCTCTGGGGCACAACAGGTCCACCTAGACCAGGAGAAACCTCAGGCTGGCTGTGGGACTGGGCCGGGTGTCACCCAGCTGAGCTGTGGTGTCCACAGCCCCCTGCTGGGACTCAGCCCCTCCTGCCAGTGCTCTGCTGGGGTGAGGGGCTGCCCCTGAATTGTTGTGTTGTAGGGAGAGCTATTGGTTAGAATAGGTGGATTTGATCTGTTTTCATTAGGTGCATTGCTTTGTTGTTGTTCAGATAACATAGGATCAGTTGGGGGGGAGGGTGTATTGAAGGTAGTACTGAAGGATGTATTGAAGGTCCCCAGAGCTGCTTGCAACTGAAAACCTTTATTGGTACAATTCACACACACTTAGAGCCCACGAGCTGGCTGCCAGGTCATTCTGATCCTGCTGTTAATTTTTTCATGAGATTGTTGCAGTTAAGCCTTGCTGGTTTTGCTTTCAGCTTCTAGCTTATCTACCAACAACTCTAGTTGGTTTTGCCCAAATTCCTTAGTTAGGAGCTTTGAACATTGTTACTAGTAGCTTCTCACAGTACCAAAACCTTCAGATTTTGTGCTGCTCCTCATACCAGCCACCT